GCCTTCTAAAGAGCAGCCAGGGTTGATCTCCTCTAAGACTGACCGGCTGGATGGTCTTGCAGTCCAAGGGACTCGTAGGAGTCTCCTCCAGCACCAGAGTTCAAAGGCCTCCATTCTTTGGCACTCAGCCTTTCTTATGGTTCAACTTTTACAGTCATGCATTGCAACTGGGAAAACCGTAGCCTTGACTATCAAACACTTTTGTTGGCAGGGTGATGTCTCTGCTTTTTAGTATGCTGTCTAGATTTGCCATAGCTTTCCTTCCCAGGAGCGAGCGTCTTTCCTTCCTTCCCACCCTCCTGCCAAATATGCAATAAGGCCTCAGGAGGGAACTGGTGTCCCCTTCATCGGTCAGGAAAAAAGCTGCCCGTTGAAAAATCTTTGCAGCTTTTGTCTTTCGCTTGAAGAAGTTTTGGGGAAAAGTTGCCCTCTTGCCATCTTGGGTTTTTCCTGTTTTCCTCTTTCATTTATGTTTGAGCGTTTTAGGGTTCTTCTTGCTTGTTAGGTTTTGTAGGCTGCCCAGAGTCGCGGTGGGTGAGACAAGAGAGAGAGACAGACAGACAGAACTGAATTGAAGAAGCTTCTTGGATGGAGAGGGGGGAAAAAAAACCAAAACAATTTAGTTGCCTTTTGGAAAAGCACCTTTTGGACAGCTGCGACCTGGATGATGGAGAATCTCTGCAGCCCTTTAAATTAATAAAAGGTCTAGGCAATTCCTGCCCTGGCTATTCCCACAGGCCTCTCCCCCACACACACTTTCCCCCAAGCCCGTTCAGAGGAAAATTTGGCAAGGCTGCCCCTGCTCCAGTTTCCAGGAGGTCCTGCCACAGGCAAAAGAAAACTTCATGTTTCCCTTTGCATCTCATACTGGGAGAGATTCTCTTGAATCCGCCAGTGAACGAGGGAGCCGTGTGTTGGGTTGGGGTTTTTGGTGGGGTGGGGGAATTGGTGGAGGAGAGCCGAGCCGGATTGACCTCCCCCAGCCAAGCTGTGGTCTGTGCCAGGAGGGCCCCCACATGTGCCGAAAAAGAAGCAATGGGCCTGCAGTCTCTATGGGGCCGAGCGAGACTTCACAGCCGAACAAAGGCTGCCTTGTGTGCACAACTCTTGTGCGCGCACAACTTGGCAGATGGTACCTTTCGCTCTCGCCTCCCGCAGGAGGCTCTCCGCCACAAGGCTGAGATGTAAACTTCACACTTGCAGGCTTCTTCCAAAGTGGTCCCAGGGATAGGGGGGGGGTGGGGTGGATGGGTAGGTGGGCTGGGAACCGTCCACTGTCTATTTTGATCTCGGCAAGGAGGAGACTTTTGGTGGGTCAGAGATCGATTTCCAATCAAGGTGGGGGCCCCTTCTCTCCCTCCCTCTTGTCCCACCCACCCCCATTGCATAATGCATCCTCGATCTGCATCGGGGATCAAAGGGGTAGCCCCTAACACTCTCTTGTGTGAACACATCAAATCTGGGTTCACCCCAGTGCTGGAAAAGACCATTCAACCAGCTGTTTTCAGCTCCTCTTGGCTGCCTGGGAGTTCTCGGCTCTGCCCGGCCTTATCCCAGTCAAATCTTTGCCAAACCTCAAGGGACAAGTCCCTAGAAAAAGACTTGATTCGGTGTCTCTGGGAGCCCTAAGGTAGCCCTCCAGTTATGACTCTCATTGAGCCCACTGTCTGCTAAGCCAGACAGTGGTTAAGTGAGTTTTGCCCCATTTTACAACCCTCTTTGCCCCAGTTGCTAAGCAAACACGCTTGTTCAATGAATCTAGCTAATCTGCCAAGCATCCAAAAGAGCCGAGGTGGCGCAGTGGTTAGGGTGCAGTACTGCAGGCCACTTCGGCTGACTGTTATCTGCAGTTCAACGGTTCAAATCTCACCGGCTCAAGGTTGACTCAGCCTTCCATCCTTCCGAGGTGGGTGAAATGAGGACCCAGACTGTGGGGGTGATATGCTGACTCTGTACAAATCCCATCACACCCAGCTTGCTTGTGCAGATGCTGATTTAAGGGTGGGTCAAG